TACACGTGTGTCGCACAAACTTCTTGATTTATCCTTTGACATAATAGATGCTTACCATACTCACGTGTTGTAGTTCTTGTTCCAGTACATTTTGCTTGTGTTCTGCTCATAACATAAAATATTATCCCTCGCAGACTAGATAGTTTACAAATCTTGGTAGTTGTTATAAGTAGAGGTGGATGATCGTTAGTGGTGAAATTCAGGAAGCATGTTTCATTCTATTTGGAACTTATGAGATGGATATACTTGAATATCAGAGCTGATTTTCACTTTGATACTAAAACCCAGTACCGTTCGCTACAACATAGTAGATATTGCTAAACCATAATAACAAACTTATTATATTATTTATGAGTATCAAAATTCTTTTTCATGTTCTCATACTGAACATATTACTTGTTTTTTGTTATGTTTAATTTTAGATTAAATTTTTACTCGCAGTTTTTTTAATTACCATAAATGTGATTTGTTCACAGACGTCACAAGGTAAGTACCACTAAGTGGCAGTTTGTTATTTTCAGTACTGTTTAGTAATTTCTAACTTTTATTATATAATATTATCTCAATGAGTCCACTTTTGTCTGACTACTCTCTGAATATACTTTGTAAATTCAAAATAGTATACTTATTAATTTCAGTCAATTTGTGATATTAAATGCCTACAGACTGATAATTAATTGTTAAACTAAGATAATGTTTTAATATTTTAATGTATTAAGTTGCAAAAGGATAATGCTGATTTAAATGATATTGAAATATAACTATATTTTCATAATCATAGGGAATGGATTTCATTTCAATCTTATATTATATTTCTACAATTTAAAGTAATTGACTTTTAAATCTTATATCATTTAAGACATTTTCATTTACTTTACTTTGTCGTTTGAATACTTATTATCTTGGCTCTTTTAATGCTGCTTTTTGTATCTGGTCGTCTCTGATTGTTATATCGGAAACGCTTATCACTTATACTCGAAACGAGGGACCTCTGTAAATAATCATTGTGGAAAGCTTGAGTATATTTATCATAAAAAGTTTTGAACTAACTTAAAAAACAATAATATATCTCTAGATTATTAGTAATATTGTATTTTAAAGGTAAATGAACATGTGAAGAAGGCAAACACTAAATGTACACATTAATTATTGTTCATAACAAAATGAAGATATTTAACTTATAATTAATTAGTTTTATGATATTTATCAATGAACACCAGTGATTTCTCGATAGGAAAAAGATTACAAATTTCATATTCAACTGAATAATTATAAAATTCTTAAGGAAATAAAATAGGAATAATTCCTTATTTTTTCATCTCAATAATCTATCATATCACCGAAATAAATAACCATATTAGATTGATTCACCTATGGACGTTTATTTGATATAAATAATAGACACTATCTAAGGTACAGATAAATGTTTTCGTTATTATTCTGTACTCTATATTACATAATTTATTAGTGGAGTTTTTGTTTATTATTCTGGATAATATCTTCACCCCTATAAAAAAATAATTTATTTACATTAATTAGGTAAAAATCAAAATGAGAAAATGGAATTAGAACAAATTAAAAAAACACCACAATATCAACAGGTCAGAACAAAAGTGATAAATGCATTATCAGATAAAATTGATAATTATGTATTGGATCAAATAAGAAAAAAACCATAATTTATTGTTTCAATGAATGATTTGAAAAAAAAAATAAATGAATAAACAAATTGTTTGTTTTTATTAGACAATAAACAATCTTTTTCTTTTTTTTTCATTCTTATCTTATCATTTTATTCTGTTTAATATTTACAGGAATATTTTATAGTATCATAATAAAAAAGAAATTAGGATTGGTTTAATTAATAAATAAAATTTAAAACAAAACAAAAAAACAAAATTCTTTGTTTCTATGGTGTTTTTCGTAATGTTCACGTAGAAAAGTATCAGTAATTTGATTGACATTGAGGAATTCAATACTAAGATGAAACAGTTATTTAGTGCTTTCAGGTTTTTCATGATGATCTAGCTTTAATTGATTCATGAATTTAATTATTAAATTACTACAATCTCCAAAAAAACTCCTCCATGATTGTAATAGTTATTTCTTTATAAGACCAGAATGAAATAAACATGTTAATTCAATTAGTAAAGCTAATACTTATTGAAACAATATATAATGTAAACATGATTTCCGATTGTTTATTGTTGATCTTTTTTCAGTAGAAAATCAATTACTTTTATTGGTATAAGGGTATTGTGGACCGCGGAGTGGTTACTTTAATTTCTACTGACTGACCAACTTCAGATATTCCAGTACGACTCCAATACTGTTCACCAATCTCTAATATATCAGAACACGAACCGTAGATGAAATTTTTTATGGGGTCAGAACAGGAATAAGAATAGGAATAACACTTAACAGACAAATGTATATTTATACAATTAGGACTACCGTGAATATTGACCAACAGGAAAATGACACCATTTCACGTTCAAGAATAGCATTAAACTTAACAGGATAATTTTTGGGATATTTTTCTGAATATCCGAACAAAGGATCTAATAAATTAATACCATCGAGAAATCAGAAATAAATAATGTCTATTTTTAAAAAAAAATATGTAGCCGTAGTAATTCCATCAGGCAAGTGGATTAATTTTTTGCATTTGAAATAGCGAGTGTTAGATTCGAAATTCAACAAAAGAACACAACTATCATGGGAATACTATTTTTTTTCTGTTGGCAAATTGGAAAGTGAGCTGTGTGTAAGCTCTGAATTACATTAATAAATCAAATCATGCGCTTACGTTATGCAGATAATCTTTTACATTTTAATATTAGAATCAAAGATAAAAATAATGTGATTTGAAAATCTGATAAATTAAGATTCCTAATTTCGTTATTTAGCCAGCAGCCAGTTAACAAATCTCAGACAGTTTGATTTGAGATAGTACTTTAACACAACTATTCAGTTATGCAATAACGAACTATTTCAGAAGATATATAATGATTCTTATCATCAACATCCTGTATTATATTAGACGACCTAAAAATGATATATAGATGGTATTTTTAAAGTGATAAAGCATTACATTGCTGTTTTACCTCTTCAAATGTAATATTATGTAGGTATAGTAAATCTCGAATCTAATGCTTATCAGTATCATTAGTCATATTGATTGAAAAGTAAGTTTCTGAAAATGTCTGTAAAATTGAATAAACTTAGACAAAAACGGCTAATTGGAAAGTAGCCATTAAGGATTATGGACTTAGGGTTAATAGATACGTAAAAAACATGAAATTTAGGGACATAATGTATTTAAGAATTATAACAAGAATTATAACAAGATACAAGGGTATTAAAAAATCTTCACGAATAAGCATTTATGTAGATTCTTAGACAAAAACTTTAAATATGTAAACAAATTTAGGTTGTAAAGGGTAAAGTAATTTATTTGACAATAAGGAAGTGGTTATTATAACAGCAAAAATTCATCATACAGTGTGTTGAAACACAACTAAAAATTGTCACTATAAAGATACAGTTCGAGATTAATGACAAAAAGTGTTTGCAAGTGAAAAATGGTACAATTAGCTTGTTATTTATACAAGTTACGCTGTGAATAACCTAGTTCTTGGAGTTTTGTTGACATTTATCAAGCATTTTAAAATCACTTTTTCTGTTTATTTCAATTTATATGTAGGGTTTAATATCATTTTGTTAAGTGTTTTTTATTATACAACCAGTTTCATGTACAATTATTTGACGTGACTGAAGTAAAGTGATTGTAGATTTGAAACTTCTTACCCAATAAGTGATTGATTACACATAATTTTCTGGGGTTCACTACCAATTCAGAATAGATGATCTATTTCACAAAGGAATATATGGATATGGTTAGTGTTAATCACATTAAATCCTACTGACAGTTTTTTGCCATTTAATAGTTGAAGCTAGACCACTATGGAAAACCTGAAAGCACTGGACGGCCGCTTTGTTCTAGTATAGGACTACTCAATAGTGCGCACCCACGATCACACCTTGCGAGATTCGAACCCAGGATCTATCAGTCTCGCGCGCGAACTCTTAACCTCTAGACCAGTGAGCCGGTATCCAACGGCGTTGAAGTCTAACTTTAACCAATCCACTTTATAGTTAGGTTAAATCCACGAGTCACTTAATCAATTATGATTTCTTACAAATCTCAAATGTTTGAATAAAACAAGTTATTAGTTTTTATCAAATCAATGGAGTTGATCAATTGTCAAAAATTCTAATTCCATATCCAATACAACCAAAATGTTCTAATTATCAGAAGATATTTACAAATAAATACCATTGTAAATTTGTATTTCCATAATTCGAAACTTGATATTAATAAAAATCATTGATTATTTCAATAAGAGACTAATCAACTGTTTATTTCCTATTGTTAAATATAACCCAGAAGATATTAATAAATTGAATAGTTCAGTTATACTGTGGTGCGTGCTACTTATGTTGATATAAGTAGTATATGACGCGAGTCGGGAATGTAATGTCTGGTAGCAGAAGATGGGGAAGGTCAAGAAAGAAAGAGCGGGAATAGAAAAAAATTAGTATGGAAATTCAAGAACAACGAAGTTCGAGACAATTATTGAACATTTTGCAAATTAAGTATTATCGTATGGTTTTTCAGTTTTACCAAGTAACTTTGTAATGTTGTACTAGGTATACATCGTTTGTCCCCACTCGTGTTCTGTTCACTACAATATCAGGTGAATGGGACTTAAATAAAATGAAACACATGCCCATATTTGAATAATTTCCAACAACAATAATGGTGTAACATTTAAATATCATTTATTAAAATCAAATTTTTGTTTTAATCACTCAAAAAGCAAACAAACAAACAAACGGTTATTTGTTTAATTTAAAAGATGAATTAATATTAATGTTATCATTAAAACACAAGATATTAATTATTATTATTATTATTCAATTGACTTTGAGTAGGTTTATTGATTTTTACGAAAGTGGTCCAGAACATATTTATCAATTCTATCTGATAATGATTCTATAACTTTTTCTTTAGCTTTTTGAAATTCTTTTGTTGCTTTAATTTCTTCAAATTTTTCTACTACTTCATCTTCAGAAGGACCTGAATTATGTGGAAAACAGAATTTCTCATATAAAAAAAGAACTAAAGTGATCAACTAAATAAAAAATAACCTATAACAATTATTGTTGATAGTCGAATTTTGAGTGAAATACTTGATGATGTGTTTATGCTAAATGTATATCGATTTTTCGAGGTATACAAAGTAAAAAGTTATTGAAACAATAATACGATTCAAGTGTATGATATTCATGATCAAATTAATCATGCTACATTTCAGCAAATGAAAGGATTAGGAGAATATAACATGTATCGTAGGGAGAGATTCATTTGGGATTAAAGAGAGAAACATTGATGAATAGTGTCTTAAAACGACTATACAAAAATGAAATGTTTCAACTGAAAATAACCTCCAGCACGGTGTTTTGATACTTACCAAGTACATAAAATAACTGAAAATAGTGTAACTACCATTATCTTGGAGATAACTTTGCAATTTACTAATTACACTATGAGGAGTTCTTCCAAATTCTTGATTAATTAATGTCAACATACAGCATTTTCAACACAATAACCTATTACACCATCACACAATAACTCATTGCATCACATTGTCTCTTCATATTATCCGAAACAAATGATTCATTTTAGATGTTTGTTTGAATACATGAGTTAACAAGTTGAAGTAAACGAATGCAAATTAATGATGAACCACGAAAATCAATTCACGGTCGCTTGACAAACATATATTTGAAATAATTCATCGAAATCTTAAAGATTAATTGGAGAAACCTTATTTCTCATTCAACATTGAAATACATCCTGAATACAAAGTTTCTGCCATATTAGTACCAGGGAGACACCTTTTTGCACTTATACCCTCCTTTCTCAGCATTTTTAATAAAATAGTATTATTTATCACTCACCTGTTGCGGCTTGAGATAAAATAACATCCAGAGTTATCAGGAAAATGACAAACAGATATTGGATCTGAAATGAAATGTGAATAAGTATAGATTCTGTGGTAACTGTGGCAAGAACATGATAAATTGTAATAGTGAGGGATTGTGTAGTAATTTGTGTGTCACCACAGCGAGGCATTATTATGATGAAGTAAATTCGGATGACAAGTGAATGAAATGGAAACTATACAGGCATCATTTACAAGTATGAGAAGAAGATTGTGAAGAAGTACATTCGAATCGTGTCAGTTATCAAGTTATTTCTACGTACACATCGTTAACTGTGGACTTACATGCATTATGTTTGTTGATGGTTTATCGTGTTCTATAACGACATCCAATTCTTTCTTCTTATATAGTCTGAGTGTCCTTATTGTTAATACTTTCTCCTTATTTGTCATTCAATGACATTTAAGTGCAATGGATTATTCTACTGAAATATTAAACATTTCATTTCCAGTATTTTGTGAAATCAACATTATATTTTACTGTCATTTCATTTGCATTATTGTCAATTCTGAAAATACTTGTCAATATTTATGTTCTTTGATTTTTGTATTTTGAATTATAAAGTGTACTAATAGGTGAGCCTTAAAACTGAATAATAGTTCTTTTGTGAACTTGTAACTAATATGATATTCAGTTAACATGAGTTACTTTCCAGACAACACAGAGAAGTGTGTTTGCATTTCAGTTTATTGTGTTCCGATTAATTTTTAAATAATAAGCCAACATTATTATTATAATAATAACATTATTAAATAAACTACATATTAGTTTTGTTACCATAGTTTCTGATTATCATGACGGCTTTACCTTCATTCTACCAAAATTTCTACTATTTAGTATATTGTCTTCTTTTTAATTTAAGTATTCAGTTTCACAATGAATGTCTAAATCTAAAGCTTCATTGACGAGTGAAATATCAATTGTGGTACAAAGTTGTTTGGATAGGTAACATAATTTCAGGGATGCTTAACTTTTAATAATACATCAATATTTTTTTAAAAGTCACTATATGATGATAAAATACTTCGATCATTATTATAAAGTCTGAGTATTTCAAAACTATACTATTTGTATTATCTACATAGATGTAAACTTTCATAAGTTCCAAAGTTTCTACTTGTACAAATTTTAGTGGCTTTTATCATTTGGATTTCATTTTGTTGTTATGAATGCTTAATATAATTAATTTGGTGTCTATAAAATCTTGGATGATATATTGAATGATGATATTACATACTCAAGGATTGTAATCTGTAGTTAAAGACGATTTGAAAAGATTTACTACATGCTATTTATCACAGAATCTGAAAAAGAAGGAGAGTTTCAAGATTAATTTTTGACATTAAAGCACATTATTACTTTGTGAAATTGTGGTGTTTGAATTAACTAATGTTTTTTTATTGTACTTGTTGAATGCTTGATTTCGAATTCTAAATACAATACATTCGTTTGTGTTCATCTCGTACTTCTTGATTAAATTGCGTTATTTCGGGAATTCTTAGTTCATACTACAATTCAAATAATTCGAAATACCAAAGAAATATATTTCAAAAGCGCTTATAGTTTCCATAATGTTCACTATCACAAAACTTTAAAATTTGGTAATATACTTGTGGCTTGTAAAAGTTCACTTTAGTCGACAACCATAGCTTGACATGTTATCTGATTTACCAAACACAGATTCACTGACTTTTGAAATTGCTTGCTGTAGCCGATTTCTAATTGATAAATGTGTTATTTATTAGCTAGTAATACTTCAGATGTTGAAATTATTTCTGGGAAAATCCTTGTATACTTCGTACAATGTAAAATATAATCCGGAATGTTGTGTGATTAGAGATAAGCATTAGTTATTCCCAATCAGACATAAGAAAATTGGAACCCGTTAACAGGGTGTACTAGCTAATATTGCCGTAACAAATAAGTAGGCCAGATGAAAACAACAGGACTAGTTATGAACGAGTCAAAACAATGTAGCAATAGCTGAAATAAAAAAATATATACAATGAAAATACGTCTTGATAAAAGGAAATGAAAATGTACGCGTGAAGGAATACTGTGACTCGAGATCGAAAGTAAGATAGAGAATGAATCCAACTGTACGACCATGAACAACGCAATCACTCCCATCACCAATCTCCGTTATAACTCGAACCCCAACCATGTAGCCGGAATCTTCTAACATGGCTCAGATTGACGATTATTGACTTCATCGGCTGATGAAACGTCCTGGTTTAACCATCCGCAACTTTCTTTCAATCTGCATTTACACTAGTTGAAGTCGTACTTCGAGGTAGACGATGATTAGGAGAACTTAACGTTTGCCTCGAGCATCTCAGTTCATGAGGATCCGCCAACCCATCGACCGATTTAGCACTTTTGTCTGGTACCCTATTACTAACCATAGCACTGTTCACTCGGTTGTTTCACGAAAAGCTGGCAGTGTCTCGAAGACATCGAAAATCGAGAACCTGTACCCTATACATGTATTGCCCTTTCAATGAACTTGTATCACGTCGACAATGAGAACTATTGTCCAGTAGACTCAAACTTTGGTTGACAAACATACGTCTCGTTTACATCACAAGTGATGCAATTTGGTAAGGATCAGGAGGAATTTCCTCATACGTTCAGTAATTCCGTAAGATAACAACAAAACAAGTCTGATGGGACTTCTAACATACGGGAAGTAATCGATTCACTCAACTACTTGAACCTCTATCACTAGCTTATACATTAATGGAGTCCAGTCTCGAAGCAACATTTAGCATTTAGAAAGCGACATATTGTCGACCATAGGTTATTAAACTTAAAATACAATTCCCATTATTAGCACAGATATATTTCCTTAAAAAACGACGAAAGTTTTATTGATATTCCCTTCTGACTAATTATACTAGACAAAATAGGAAATTCAACACACTTGACTTAAATAGTTATTCAGTTCAAAAAATAACAAACTGATGAACAAATATTCAATTAGTTAGCCGGCCGAAATACAAATTGTATTGATTCTCTTATTGATAGTAATATTATTAAAGATTTCGCACTTCAGAAAATGACATGAATGAAAATATGGATATAAAATCTTTATGGATGTTCGGTGAACTAGTAAATGAACAGTGAGTGCAAGTCTGAATATATCTCGAGATCACTTTTCCATATTCTCATAATAATCACTCATAATAAATCCAAGGTTTCCAGTGTATTCAACAAATCGGTAAGTATAATGACGGTCAAATAGTTTATCTATAAAACGTCTCATTGTACATTTAGTGTGAGCATTAAAGTGTTCTGTGTTTTATTGCTTAATTCAGTAATAAATTCACAATTCTCTATTGACGTATAGACTGTTTGTAAAGAAGTTTCCATATCATCATTTCAAAGTGGATGAACTGTGCAGTTTTATTGTGGTTTGAGTTTTGATATGGTTAAGTTTCATCTACTGGATATGACTACATTCACAAAATTAATGGATTGTCTAGGTACAATCGAAACTATCACATCACATCTAAGACACTGGTGTGATATTATGGTGTTTGCACTTACTACTGATTCATTAGTATGTAGTGACTCACATTTATCACGAGAACACGACTGGTTTATTAAAAACAATCATTATTATAACCAACTGTACTAGTGTTTGTTTAATGTGCTTTTGTTTGACTGTGCTAATGACGGCTATTTTGTGCTTCCATTCTTATACTTACACTTTGATTGTAACTTCGCGCGAATTCGGTTACGTTCTGTAACCAAGCTTCTATCCTGGCACGATCTCGGTATCCTTTCGATGCCACGAGATCGCCAGCGAATATATCTCGATTTGGTCCATTAACTGCCTTCTGATATTTGGCCTCTCGGGAATTTTATGGATTTATTTGGTTACGTTCAACCTACGCCTTCTGCTTTACTTGGCACGTGTTTCTTGGTAGCGGTGTTCATAGTCAATTTTGAACTGACACCACGCCACAAGTACTTGATTACGCACTGATTACGAATTCCAAATACAATACTTTCATTTGTGTTCATCTAGTTCTTCCTGTCTTAAATTGCACTAATTCACGAATTCTTAGTTCGTACATGAATTCGAACACTTCTAATTATCACCTGAACAATGAAATATTACAACGAACTCACAGCCAATGTATATCAGTAAATAAATCGAAGTTTCAAATCGTTTTAATAAAGAAATAGATCAATATAAAACAACATTTGTTGAGTAGTGTATTACAGATCCATGCATTTTGCAGTTCATTAGAGAATAATGTACTACTTGTTACGTATTTGATCCAGAACAAATTTGTCTATTTTCTCATCTAATAGGGCCATAATTTTTGCTTTGACTTTTTGAAATTCCGGAGTCTTTTTAAGCAATGCCAAATCTTTTTTATCTTTTTCTGATAGACCTGGATTAGCTAGAAAACATATTTCAGTGTAGACAAACAAAGAAAAGAGACAAATAGAGGTGAGCAAGCAAGTAGAATATTCACAACAGTCATTGTCAATATTCAGATTCCGATAATGTCTTATCGATTGTGCTGTGGAATAGGATTGGGTGCCGAGCAGTTTTATGCTTCATTGGATGTGTATTCTGTGATCTGAATGATTCCATGTATAAAGAACGATTTATTGTTTGCTGTGGATAGCAACATATCAGTTCCACTTCTAATAGTTTCTATTCTGTTTTGAAGAATATATTATGGCTCATAAATAATGCACTTGGAATGTTCCTCATAGGAGGAGTGAGATTGCAAGTTAACATGCAATGCAGTGATACGATGAATCTGACTATCGTTTTGTTGTATTGGGTTACTAAAAATTAACTTCCTTGTGACTACACATTCAAAGAACAACTTTCCAACTAGAAATGAATGATGTATAATATTTAGAAATATAACAGTGAGTAGTCCTAACGTTTAACGCCTGAATCCGCCTATATTTCACTAGTATGTCTTGAGTGTTTGATCACTTGAGAAATAAATCAGGCAGTTTTAGTAGTATTCCAAGTTCATAAACCGAAAAGTGACAATGCTCTACAGAGAATACCTGGTTGTCTCTAGAGAGAAAAATACTCAGTGTATTTATTCTCCATTCAGTACTCACTAAAAGTGTGACTGAGATTTGTGGAACTATCCAAGAAATACATGTCATCAGCAATTATCCATTGTCTACAAAGCAGAAGTTCCACTTTAGTAGTTTTTAAGTCACGAACTAATCTTGGTTGGACCAGCGTTGAAAAGACTTGTATCACTGGATGTTCGTTTCATCCCACTATAGGTCATCTCAGCAGTAATCATTCATGACCACACACCTTGGAATAAAAAAATTACCTTCGGTCTCACGTGTGCGTGTCTCACTTCTAGACTAGTGTTCCGACATCCTACGGTGATAA